GGCACTCCCTCATCAGAGCAGGTCACAGTGATGTTATACTCAGAGGCTCTCTCTCTGTCTAAATCACTGTCTGTTACTAAGGTATAGAAATTATTAGATGTGGATTTCAACACGAAAGGAATATTATCACTTATAAAACATTGAACTTTACCATATTCATCTGAGTCTGGGTCTTGAATGTTAATCATTGTAACAACTGTGTTGGGCTTTGCACTCTCTGATATAATTGTTGATTTAGACATAATTTTAATCGTTGGTTCATTGTCATTTATATCAACGACATCGACAATAACTTTGCAAGAATCAGTGAGTCCTCCGTTATCCCTTGCCCGTACATTGATTTGGAAATGTCTTTTCTTTTCATAATCCAACCGCCCAATCAATTTAACTTCACCGTTTTCATCGTTTATTTCAAACATATGTCTGACGTCATCCAAAGTATTTGTGATTGAATATGTTATTTTACCATTCAATCCATGATCAGCATCTGAAGCACGAACAGAAGTCACAGTTGTGCCTTTTGTAGCATTTTCGGATACAGTGCCTTTGTACACCTGCTGCGTAAAAACGGGTGCGTTGTCATTGACATCTAACACTGAAATAAAAATCTGCATTGTTCCTGACATCTGTGGCTCTCCTCCATCTACAGCGGTCAACACTAACGCAATGAAATCATTTTTCTCTCTGTCCAAGGGCTTTTGTAAGACCATTTCAACATTTTTTGTACCGTCAGCTTGGTTGTGCAATTTAAGCATAAAATTATCGCTTGGTTTGAGGACATAACTTTGGAGAGTGTTTGTACCCACATCCAAATCTACAGCTCTTTCTAAATCAAATATAGCCCCAACAACAGCAGACTCACTAATGATGAATTTAATTTCATTTTTTTCAAACGTTGGCGGATTATCATTAATATCTGTTATTTCAACAGTAACACTGTAAAACTCCATAGGATTTTCTAACACAATCTGAAAATGCACAGCGCACGGCGTCGTGTCACCGCATAACGCCTCTCTGTCTATTCGCTCTCTGATTAGAAGGACTCCTCTCTCGGCGTTTAACTCGACGTATTCTCTGCTATCACCGGAATAAACACGAGCGTTGCCCAGCTTTAGCCTTTTAACATCTAA